TAAACAGGCATGAGCCTGGAAGAAACCAATTACAAGGGGACAAGGAGCCATATTCAGATAAGTTTTTAATGAGGTGTATTATTTTTTATTTAAAGATGGGAATTATTCACAATAAAATAATAATCCGCTTGAGCAAGACTGGAGGTACCGAATAAAACTGCAGAAATACTTGGAGAAAAGTGACGTGCAATTGTAGCTATAAGATGTACATTAGTACAAGGTAAGGCAAAAGTGTTGTCATTGTGTCAATGTTCCTCGGCATTTATGTTGTAGACAAATAGAAAATTAGTTAACAACAAGCAATGGAGCGATACACACATGAAGAACGCTCTAACGGTAGAACGTTCTAAGGTATATCCATGTTTTTATATACTCCAAGGTAAAGTATCTTAAAGCAATACATGGATATAACCTTAAAGCATATGCTATAAAATGTCTGGCTTTTTTGAGACATTGTTAATTTTAAAAATCACACAAAATAACCCATTAATCAAATGACTAACCTTTTGAATAACACTCTGTATACAAATAAGAAGAATAATAAAATCGGTAATTGAATAAAGTACACAGTAAAAAAAGTAGTGAAGATATTTAACTCTAGTAAACTCTAAAAACATTCTATATGCGACGACTTTTTTAGAGTTATTTATTCACAATGATGATAGTGTAATAATTTATATTTGTAGGGTAAATATTATAACGGTATTTAGTGTTACATTTAATTTACTAGTGCATAAATTTAACACTACTGTGTGTTAAGGGTACTCTGGGTACTGACCCGGGGAAAATAGTTTTGTTAATTAGAGTATTATTTTACACTATTTTTATAACATTTAGACTCTTTAGAATCTTTTAGAGTAAACAAACTACTCTATTTTTAGTGAATATGCATATCTTTTTTACTCTGATTAGTAAACTGTACCTTCAAATCGAGTAAAAATTACTCTATCCTTAGTTGCTATAAAAAGAGAAAAATTAAAAACATATATTTAAATTCAAAAGTATATTTTGTGAAAAATAACAAAAATAAAAAACTAATGTTAACATAAAAATAAAAACAATGTATAATTAAAATATGTAAATTAACTCGAACAAATGTTTCTTTTAAATCAATGCATCCATTTTGAATGTAATTTGTATATAATTGGCTCGTTTCTGTTATTATCGGTTTTGGGACAAAATGCCTAATCACATTTTAAGTCTTTACAATAAAATATCTTCAATATAAATAATAAGAAATAATGTACCTATTTTATACGTATTATGCAGCAGCACCCACGCACAAGCGAACCATTAACCCTTGGAAACAGCACTAAACTAGTTTACAAATTTATAGACGCTTTGCAATCCCTACCACAAATAATAACCCTAAAAGTGTAGATTTAACTCTTTTTAGTGTAAAAATATACTCGCTTACTGTTTACTTTACTCTAATCCAAAACAATAATACACTAGCAAGAGGAAAACTAGGGAAATTTTAACGCAAATAGCGGTTGTAAAATACTAATTTATAGTGTAAATGTTTTACTTTTTACAAACTCTAAATTAACACTAATGCGATTGTATTAGACATTCGAGTAAAAAATATAATATTTTTAGAGTTACGTTATTATTACACTGTAAAATAATGTAATATAGAGTTATGTAGAGTAATATTAAGCTATAGAGTTAAATAATTGGTGCATTTTACACTGAATATCAACTCTAAAATATTTACCAACTACACTAGCTACTTTACTCGATTCATATTTTTTACTGTGTATCCATCCCAATAAGCTGTGAACAATAGTAACTAATTCTTTAATTGTTTTGTTCCTAAAATCCAAATCAATCACGTAATCCAATGAAGTTAAAGCGGAAATGTACATCCAGCTGGCGGAAATTAAAAATGGCACTCTACAAATCTTTTTACACAATTTAAAACAACTTTGTAAATAACATCTGGATAGGACAAACTTTTTGAAAACACCATCTGCATTTTCATTTAAAATTATGAATTTATTCAATGAAATGGTTTTATTTCTTATTTCCATCAGGATGAAAGTTATTAGGATTTCTTCGTTTAAACATATTATATCAGAAATGGTATAATAATAGGCGCAATATCCAGGTTTATTAAAATTATAAAACACCACGTTCATGGTTTCTTGAATAATAATCCAAAAATACAAAAATATTTTAACAAAAAATACGCAATTAAAAATCCTATTACTTTTGCACACCCAATTATTTTGTTCGTCGAATATAAACAAATTGTTCAAAACTGTTGCCAAATCCTCTTCATAAAAATGTAAATTTAATTGTATAATTATTGCGTAAATAAAATACAAAGACACTTTAACGGTATGAATAAATGTATCCATAACAAATTTTCTACAGCTAACATATATGGAAAAATTGAACAATAGTATATTTGCTAAAATAATATAACTAATTATTCTGTATTTTTGATTTGACATAATTTCTGTGTTGGATTTGTTAATCTTTAAAGCACAGTTTCCCATAATAAAGTTTAGAAGCCATGGTGTACGAATTTTTTGAAAAATTATCTTCTCCATTATTTTCTAGTTAATTATATAGATGTTTAAAAAATAATAATGGTAATATACCAATAAATATTTAATTTTTTCAATAATTTAGTATGCTACATACATACATATATGTATGTGTTAAACTTCTATTTATAGATATTGTAAATTAAATTCATTCAATTATAAGAAGTGGGTCAACTATAAGGGTTTCAATTATTTATATAAATTGAATTGTATATAAATTGTATAAAATTACTTTGTAGCTTTATGCCTACATTTAGGCAAATTAAGACATATGTATGAGGCGCCGTTTGTCCGTAAATTATTTTTTATATATAAACTTTATATTTCCTATATATATAGAAACTTTTTAGTTCAGATAATACCGCTTGAGAATAAGGGCGCTTTGTGGAATAAACTAAAAAGCACTGTTGCCAGAGTGTGCCAATGCAAAGTTTTGGTCAGTGTTTTCAACATAACGTTTTAATAAAGGTCAAGGGAAAAAAGATACTCTTACGGCTGACGGATTTTTTAACGGAAACTTGAACATAATATCGAATGGCATTTGTCATAAGATTTGTACCTATATAATTTAATTTGTAAGAGTCCAAGTTTAAAAAAAAAAATCTTTGTTTTTTTATCAATTGGCAAGAGAAGCAAAACGTAAGAAATTTTAGTTTTTTTAAATACCTATTAGTAAAAACGAAGCCGTGTTTATTTAGAGAAATAGAGACGGCCAAAGAAAATAAATGTTTTCTTCAATAAAAATAGACCAACCGACCAATATATTACCTATAAGTATTTAAAAAAACTAAAATCCTATACTTGTTGCTATCATTTTGTTCCGCTAGATCTGGCCGAAGATCCGTTATGTTGGAAACACTGACCAAAACTTTGCATTGGCACACTCCGGCAACAGTGCTTTTTAGTTGAATACCACAAAGCGCCCTCATTCTCAAGCGGCATTATCTGAACAAAAAGTTTCTATATATATAGGAAATTTAAAGTTTATATATAAAAAATATTCTTATATATAGCAAAAATAATTTACGGACAAACGGCGACTCATAAATATGGTTGATTCTAAAAAAGTGGACAACTTGATGTCATCAGTCAATAGAGTAGGTATTTTAATATTTTTTGTAAATATTTTAGTATATTACAAAAGATCCGGTTTTTTTTAACTTGTCCACCCAATTTTAATGAATTTTTTCAAAAGCACGTTTGTAGAAAAACATAACAAATATTCAAAACATCAGTACATTGGCGTGTCACAACTCCTGAGTGATTTTATTTTAAAATATATTTAATTTATCTTAAATTTTTCAATTTTCCTACAAACTATAGTTATAAAAAATAAACAATGTTTTTTTATATAAAAATTAAACAATGTTTTTTTATATTTTATTACAGATTCAAATAATAGCAATTTAAAAAAAATGATAATCTTTGTACTCACTTTTACCCGTCAGTTCTGTGTCCAATGTTAAAATTCAAAACCCCTGCGAAATATTGAAGTTTAAACGTCAAGTCCTCGTTTTAACTCAAGTATTGGTAAAAAATTACCTACAGTCATCTTGAAAACAATGCAATCGGCGAAGTTGTGGTGAATGCATGTATAGTTCCAGTCAAAATTTCATTACTGTGGTGAGTAGTTATTTTCTTACGTTTATATATTTCATTGTAATTTATATAAGGCTATATGTGATTTGTTGATAAGTAGCATTCACTAATAAAAAATATCAGTAAAATACTTAATTCCGACGTATAATCTCGTCAGTTCCATGTTCGATGTTTCGGTTATCTTTTTTTGCAAACTTTAATTTAATGTCATTATAAACTCATATAAATTTGGTGTGGGTGTATCTAATAATTGAGATATCGGTATACCCAAAATCCACCAGCCGCTACTGATGTGTGGTATTATTTGATTTTAAGATATTTAATGTATAATATGCAAAGTTGCAATAAATCCTATATTTTCCAATAAATTATTTATTTAATTAGTACCCTGGTATACTCGTCACTTCCCTTGCATTCAAATTTAGAAAACACAGATATTTCAGAAACTGTTTGAAAAAGTGACTGGCCCGGTTTGGAACAGTATATTTATTATATTATCTATGTTCTCATAACATAATAATGTTTAATTTTTTCCGAAAACTATATAAACAAAATGGGGAAGTTGCCCAACTTTTGTAGAATCAACCTTATAAGTTTTATCATTATTCAAAAACACGCTGTATTTTACTTTTTTTGCAATGTTTACCAATATAAGAATAATAAAATTACAAATTTTTAACGTCAACGATTTTGTCATTTCGATGTCAGGGCAGTGTTTTTTTAAATTAAATTAAAATAACTATGAACCTTTCGCGATTATTAAAAACCACTCCAGTTCAAATTATTAAACGAACAATTAAGGCTGTATTAAGTGACCCTGCACTGCACAAAGGACTCGCATTTACGATGAAAGAACGTCAACTTCTGGGCATACACGGTTTATTACCAGCCAGAGTGAAAACTATGAAAGAGCAATTGTTTCTATGCAAACTGACTGTGGATAATTATACCACTGCAACGGGTAAATACTTATATTTAAACGACTTGATGCAAAGAAACGAAAAATTATTCTATAAACTTTTAACGGAAAATATAGAACAACTGTTGCCCATCGTTTATACCCCAACAGTTGGACTGGTGTGCCAAAGGTTTGGTTTTCTATTTCGACGACCCGAAGGTATTTTTCTTAATATCTATGATAAAGGCAACGTGCAGCAGATTTTAAAAAATTGGCCGGAAAAAGGAGTTAAAGTGATAGTTGTCACAGATGGCGAACGAATTTTGGGTCTGGGCGACCTTGGAGCGCATGGTATGGGAATACCAGTGGGCAAATTATCCCTATACACGGCTTTATCCGGTATCAATCCAAAAGCATGTCTTCCGATTACATTAGATTGCGGAACCAACAACGAAACGTTATTAAATGATCCTCAGTACGTCGGCTTGAGAGAAAAACGGATCGGGGGCGAGAGATATGAAGCTTTCGTGGACGAGTTTATGGAGGCGTGCGTCGAAGAGTACGGTCCAAATATATTGATACAGTTCGAAGATTTTGGTTCTCATCATGCATTTAAGTTTTTAGAAAAATATAGACACAAATACTGCGTATTTAACGACGATCTGCAGGGAACAGCCGCTGTGGTTTTGGCAGGTTTAATGAGTTCATCGCGTATAACCGGGAAAAAATTGTCCGAGTCTAAGATTTTGTTTTTGGGAGCCGGCGGGGCAGCAAACGGAATAGCCTCGCTATTGGTGATGGGCATGATAAGACAAGGTGTCAGTAAAGAAGAAGCAATCGGCAAGATTTTCCTAATCGATGCTGATGGGTTGGTGGTCAATACAAGAACGAAAGGTGATCTTATTGGTCCAAAAAAGTATTATGCTAAAGACCTCAATGAAATGGACGATCTTAACGCAATAGTAAATAATGTTAAACCCAATATTCTTATAGGAGTTTCCACCAAAGGGGGCGCCTTTACACCGAAAGTGCTTAAATCGATGGCTGCAATAAGTAAGAGACCTGTTATTTTTGCATTAAGTAATCCTACAAATAATGCGGAATGTACACCACAGGAAGCCTACCAGCACACAGAAGGAAGATGCGTTTACGCCAGCGGTTCGCCGTTTAAAGAGGTTGAATACCAAGGCAAAACATATAAAACTGGTCAAGGAAATAACTGCTATATATTTCCTGGCGTTGGTTTAGGAGTAATGCTATCCCAAATGCTTCACATACCCGAGGAAGTATTTTTAATAGCTGCAGATACTATAGCAGAAAACATCAAACAGGAACATTTGGATAAGGGAAGTGTATACCCACCGATAACGGATATATATAACATGTCCGGCTTGATTGCCGAAGCAATAATGAAATATGCGTTTGAAAAGAATCTTGCTGGTATAAACAGGCCTGAAAGTATTCCAGATTTTATCGAAAAACATCAATATTCCACTTCTTATGAAGATGCTCTTCGACCGACCTGGGAGATACCTCCTTTGGACACAAAGTACGATATGGAAAAGTGGGACCCTCCAAAATCCTTTTGTTAATATTTTTATAAAAATAAATAATAAATCCTTGGTTTATTCTTTTACTTTTGCATGGATACTAAAAGAAATGTGATTTATATAATTAAGATAACAAACGTTTTTAAAAATTTCTATATTATTCATAAATAATAAAAATGTAAACATTGAAATTCTTGGTTAATTAACATTATTTTATTACAGATTGTGTTTAACAAAACTTTATTATTGGAAACTGTGCATTAAAGATTAATGAAACCTGCACATGTGCAGATATTACTTAAAATTTCTTAACTTTTAGAATTCATAATATAGTTTAACAATGGGCTTTATTTGTTACATTTTAAATCAATTTTTTTATATAGAATATTTAAGATTTTTGTAAAGTAATAAGAAACCTTTGAAAACAAGATCAAGTAATAAAATGTATTTTTCTACGACCACTATGTAAAAGTCACATTTCATAATGGCATCGTTGCTTAGATAATGAATCTTTTCATTGGCAAGGCAAAACACGAATGTAAAGTGACATTTCTGTGTGAAAAGTGACAGGTCTGTGTGAAAAGTATTTGACAGCATCGTTTGACATTTGTGCGTCGAAGAATACGATCCAAATATATTGATACAATTCGAAGATTTTGGTTCTCATCATGCATTTAAGTTTTTAGAAAAATATAGACACTAATACTGCGTATTTAACGACGATCTGCAGGGAACAGTCGCTTTGGTTTTGGCAGGTTTAATGAGTTCATCGCGTATAACCGGGAAAAAATTGTCCGAGTCTAAGATTTTGTTTTTGGGAGCCGGCGGGGCAGCAAACGGAATAGCCTCGCTATTGGTGATGGGCATGATAAGACAAGGTGTCAGTAAAGAAGAAGCAATCGGCAAGATTTTCCTAATCGATGCTGATGGGTTGGTGGTCAATACAAGAACGAAAGGTGATCTTATTGGTCCAAAAAAGTATTATGCTAAAGACCTCAATGAAATGGACGATCTTAACGCAATAGTAAATAATGTTAAACCCAATATTCTTATAGGAGTTTCCACCAAAGGGGGCGCCTTTACACCGAAAGTGCTTAAATCAATGGCTGCAATAAGTAAGAGACCTACAAATAATGCGGAATGTAGGTACACCACAGGAAGCCTACCAGCACACAGAAGGAAGATGCGTTTTCGCCAGCGGTTCGCCGTTTAAAGAGGTTGAATATTAAGGCAAAACATATAAAACTGGTCAAGGAAATAACTGCTATATATTTCCCGGCGTTGGTTTGGGAGTAATGCTATCCCAAATGCTTCACATACCCGAGGAAGTATTTTTAATAGCTGCAGATACTATAGCAGAAAACATCAAACAGGAACATTTGGATAAGGGAAGTGTGTACCCACCGATAACGGATATATATAACATGTCCGGCTTGATTGCCGAAGCAATAATGAAATATGCGTTTGAAAAGAATCTTGCTGGCATAAACAGACCTGAAAGTATTCCAGCTTTTATCGAAAAACATCAATATTCCACTTCTTATGAAGATGCTCTTCGACCGACCTGGGAGATACCTCCTTTGGACACAAAGTACGATATGGAAAAGTGGGACCCTCCAAAATCCTTTTGTTAATATTTTTATAAAAATAAATAATAAATCCTTGGTTTATTCTTTTACTTTTGCATGGATACTAAAAGAAATGTGATTTATATAATTAAGATAACAAACGTTTTTAAAAATTTCTATATTATTCATAAATAATAAAAATGTAAACATTGAAATTCTTGGTTAATTAACATTATTTTATTACAGATTGTGTTTAACAAAACTTTATTATTGGAAACTGTGCATTAAAGATTAATGAAACCTGCACATGTGCAGATATTACTTAAAATTTCTTAACTTTTAGAATTCATAATATAGTTTAACAATGGGCTTTATTTGTTACATTTTAAATCAATTTTTTTATATAGAATATTTAAGATTTTTGTAAAGTAATAAGAAACCTTTGAAAACAAGATCAAGTAATAAAATGTATTTTTCTACGACCACTATGTAAAAGTCACATTTCATAATGGCATCGTTGCTTAGATAATGAATCTTTTCATTGGCAAGGCAAAACACGAATGTAAAGTGACATTTCTGTGTGAAAAGTGACAGGTCTGTGTGAAAAGTATTTGACAGCATCGTTTGACATTTGTGCGTCGAAGAATACGATCCAAATATATTGATACAATTCGAAGATTTTGGTTCTCATCATGCATTTAAGTTTTTAGAAAAATATAGACACAAATATATTATACTGTATACTTATACAGTATACTGCGTATTTAACGACGATCTGCAGGGAACAGTCGCTTTGGTTTTGGCAGGTTTAATGAGTTCATCGCGTATAACCGGGAAAAAATTGTCCGAGTCTAAGATTTTGTTTTTGGGAGCCGGCGGGGCAGCAAACGGAATAGCCTCGCTATTGGTGATGGGCATGATAAGACAAGGTGTCAGTAAAGAAGAAGCAATCGGCAAGATTTTCCTAATCGATGCTGATGGGTTGGTGGTCAATACAAGAACGAAAGGTGATCTTATTGGTCCAAAAAAGTATTATGCTAAAGACCTCAATGAAATGGACGATCTTAACGCAATAGTAAATAATGTTAAACCCAATATTCTTATAGGAGTTTCCACCAAAGGGGGCGCCTTTACACCGAAAGTGCTTAAATCGATGGCTGCAATAAATAAGAGACCTGTTATTTTTGCATTAAGTAACCCTACAAATAATGCGGAATGTACACCACAGGAAGCCTACCAGCACACAGAAGGAAGATGCGTTTTCGCCAGCGGTTCTCCGTTTAAAGAGGTTGAATACCAAGGCAAAACATATAAAACTGGTCAAGGAAATAACTGCTATATATTTCCCGGCGTTGGTTTAGGAGTAATGCTATCCCAAATGCTTCACATACCCGAGGAAGTATTTTTAATAGCTGCAGATACTATAGCAGAAAACATCAAACAGGAACATTTGGATAAGGGAAGTGTATACCCACCGATAACGGATATATATAACATGTCCGGCTTGATTGCCGAAGCAATAATGAAATATGCGTTTGAAAAGAATCTTGCTGGCATAAACAGGCCTGAAAGTATTCCAGCTTTTATCGAAAAACATGAATATTCCACTTCTTATGAAGATGCTATTCGACCGACCTGGGAGATACCTCCTTTGGACACAAAGTACGATATGGAAAAGTGGGACCCTCCAAAATCCTTTTGTTAATATTTTTATAAAAATAAATTATAAACCCTTGGTTTGTTCTTTTACTTTTGCATGGATACTAAAAGAAATGTGATTTAGATAATTAGGATAACAAACGTTTTTAAAAATTTCTATATTATTCATAAATAATAAAAATGTAAACATTAAAATTCTTAGTTAATTAACATTATTTTATTACAGATTGTGTTTAACAAAACAACATGGATTACAAACTTTATTATTAGAAACTGTGCATTGAAGATTAACAAAACCAGCACAAGGGCAGAAATTACTTAAAATTACCTAAAAAACCAATAGTATGTTGTAAATATCTACTCGTATATCTGTACCCCAGAGCCAAACTAAACTGCGCACCACTTAATGTGTCGCGACCAAAAAGTTGATCCTTTTTTAAAACGACATAACTTTTTTGTTTCTTAAACGATTTTATTTTGGTGCCATGAGCGTAAATATTGCTTCAGGTTTAGTTTTCGCAAATTTTTACCAAAATGTCATTTTGAAAAAGTGGTCTTTCCTTGGGCCCCTCTAAAAATAAAGTATATTTATATAAGTTTGTTGCTTGTTGATTGTGCAGAATTATTTAAGAAACAATCTTTTACCATCTTATCTTCTTGTTCGTAAAAATACGAGTGTATTGCCTATCAAAAATCCTCAAATGTACTCTTTTGGAAAAAAATAATATTTTGGTTGCTAAGATTCCAATTCGAAAATTTTGAAAACCAATTTAAGGTAAGACATAATACTTCATTATTTCAAAGTAAAAAAGAGAAAAAATATTTATTTTTTCAAACGGGGCTTGGATGAAGTTATTGAAATTTTTCACCGTTTTACATATCACCCTGTACGAAATTTACTTGAAGAACCGTAAGCTTCATATCTATAGCATGAATTGCCAGAGGATGGGGCTAGCAGACAATACAGACCAAAATAAAATAGTTCAAGAAACAAAAAAGTTATGGCGTTTTGAAAATGAACGAACTTTTTGGTCGCGACACATTGAGTGGTGCGCAGTTTATATTAGGTCAATTCTGGGTCCTCTCGTAAAATTTCTGAATGATTTCTTTTAAAAAGTAACTTAACGAACATAAATATTTAAAAAAAAGCATACAATTTTTAATAAAAAATAAAATAAAAAATTGGAGTCCATTTTATTTCAAATTATTTTTATAACAACTTTTTTTATTGAATTAAATTTTGGATTTCAAATTGGTAACACAGTGGAGATAAACATATTAAGCTGGGTAAACACATTTTTCTGAAAAAAACGTAAAAAAAAATTAAAAAGTGTCTGTCTGTCTTAAATCGGCCATTCCAAGCCCATGGACAGGACACATCAGAAACATGTCTAAATATATTCTTGTTACTTCCTTAAGTTTGCTTATTTTTTCTACGAGTATTTATGAGAAGTACTAGCCAAATTTGGCTAATACTTCTCATAAATACTCGTAGAAAAAATAAGTAAACTTAAGGAAGTAACAAGAATATATTTAGACATGTTTCTGATGTGTCCTGTCCATGGGCTTGGAATGGCCGAAATGTAAGTAAACAAAACTCTAAACATTTATAAAAATCCAACCAAAAGTCAATTTAATCTTCATTTTCCTGAAAGCGGGTGTTTCTTGAAAATGACTTAAATGTTAAAACGGCGTGCCATAAATACACCACAATTTTAAATACATAATTAATAATTATTAATTATAATAATTGATACCCGCTATAACGCGCTTCACTTATCTCATATACTCGTACAATGTAAAAAAACCTTATTA